TAATATAAATAAATAAAATATTGCTTAAAAATTTAATTTAATTAAAATAAAATAAACAAGTAAATATTTCAATAAAAAATTTTTATACTACTACTAATTAAAAATCACTTTAGTCTCAGTCCCTATTCATAAAAAAGAAAGTTTTTGAAACACTTACCACTGGCGGATAGGACATGTACTTGTCGCTCATGTTAAAGTAGGATCCATCGGCTGGCGGCGCTGGCGACGGCGATGATATGTAGCTGCCCTTGATGACCAGCGAGGAGGCGGGCGAGGGCGAGGGTATGTACAGGCCATTGGAGATCAGCATGTGGTCGTCCTTGGCCCGCATGGGCATGCCCTCGATCAAGCCGGTGGCGCTGTTGCGTTGACTATGCCGCTTCGGGTTGGGCAGGGTGCGCGTGAAGTCCGGATTGCACAGCGGGTAGGGGGGCGTGCACATGGAGCTCTCCTGATATTTGGGCGGATAGGCCGTTGACTGAATGATGTCGACGTTCTCCACCAGATATGTCGATGCGGCCGCCTTTTTCTGTACATCCGCCTGCAATGCAGTGATGGGCAGCTGGTTAGGATAAGGCCAATCAGTCTGCAGTTCAATATTGGCTATAAACTGATGCCCATTTACCTTATAGACCGACTGATTATCATCCTTCGAGTAGGCGTCGTCGTTGCTGGGCTCCGTTTCGCCCTGCGACTTATTCTGACGGCGTATCACGAACCAGGCCACCAGCGCCGCATTCAGCACCAACAGCACCATGGCCGCCGAGGTGATGCCAATGATCATGACATTGGGCAGCTCGTCCTTTTCGGTATATTCCGCCGAGTGGGGCTGCGAGCCCTTGCTCAGGATGAGCTTGATGTCGGGCAAGAACTTGCTGCCGCCGGCCTCATTGTGCGCCATCACGGAGAAGTAGTACGTGCCGCCGGGCTTGAGGCTCTCCAGCGTGATGTTCTGTTGTCCCACCTTGGCGTCCACATACTTGTACTTGTCCTCACCGTGCTGCTTGACGCGCACGCGGTAGTAGACCTGCATGCCGCCATCGAAGCCCGGCGTCCACATCAGCTCCGCGCTCGTGTCGCTCACATTGCCCACCCGCAGCTGGAGGGGCGTGTCCGGGCGCGTGGGCTTGCTGAACTCCAGTGTGGTGCTGGCCTGACCCATCGCGTTGCGCACGACGCACTCGTACTGCCCATAGTCATCCGCCGAGGTGCTCTCCACAAGCAAGGCGGACTCAAAGTGGAGCGGATCCACCTGACGCTCGACGGTGGTGAACTTGTTGCGTCGCTGCATCTTCAGGTCCTTGCCATGGCGACGCCAAATGAAACTGGGCTGGGGCGCGGCCAAGGCACGGCAAATGAGCTGAGCCCGTACGCCCAGGCGAGCCGCAAAGCGCGTGTACGCCGGCGAGTGATCAATCTCCGGCGAGGCTGCAATCAATCAAAAACCGATGGAAAGTAATCAATGATTAGCTGCTATGGGCACAAACGGGGCTCTGGCCACTTACTCTGCACAACAAGCACCACGTTCTGGGAGGCTGGGGGTCCGCGCTGATTGTCCACAGTGCACGTGAAATTGCCAATATCGCCACGCTGAACATTATCGATGTGCAGTAGCGCGGTGTTGTTCTCGAAGCTGGACGTGGTGCGAGTGGCGAAATCGTAGCCGGGTCGGGACCAACGCACATGGGCGGCCTCCAAGGGGCGGGCTTGCACTTGACAGGCCAGCACAGCCTGTTCGCCAGGCGCAAAGCTCTGACCCTCGGTGACGGAGGTAATAACGGGTGCATCTAATGGACAAGCGAAATCAGCGACTGAGCAACTGGCCAAAAGTGGGCAATCCGACTACGGAGTACTTACATTCCACAATCACTTGAATCTCCAGCAGGGCTGTGCCTTGTGTGTTGAGGGCCTCGCACACATAGACGCCCGCATCGTTGCGGCTGAGCCGACTTATATTGAGTCTGGGTCCATCCGATACCAGCCGCTGGCCGCTCAACGGGTTGCTGCTAATGGGCAGACCGTCCTTGGTCCAGGTATAGCTAATCGACATTGGATTGCCGCTCGCATGCAGCTCGACTTGCAGCGGCGAGCCCTCGACACCCACAAAGCTGGTTATCTGCGCGACATCGAACTTGGGAGGAACTGCGCGGAATGGGAATGAGCTGGTCAGAGGACAAATATCAGTGGGATGTGAGCTCGGGCCACTTACAGAGTATGTCCAGGCTGATGGTCTCGTGAACGCTGCGCTGCAGCACTTCGTTGTGGCTCTGGCAGGTGTAGATGGAGCCATCGAGGTCCTGGGTGATGTTCACGTGCATCTCGAGGGTGGACACCGAGCCGCCCCAGAGGCCGGGCCTGTTGGCCAGGTTGAGGCCCTCCACAGGTATGCCATCCTTCCACCAGCTGATTTTGGCCGGCGGATTACTGGAGCTGGAGTCGCAGATGAGCTTGGCCCGGATGCCGGGCACCAGGTTCTTGGGCGACACACTAATTTTGACAGTCTCCGGCGGAACTAAACGGCCAATGAAATTACAATGTCAGAGAAATGGGGCCAAAGGGCTGAACGCAATCGCTACTCACAATGCACACCGAGAGTCTTAGTGGCGAATAACGGGATCTCGATGGCTGCATTCTGCACCTCACACTTGTAGATGGCATTATTGTCGGAGGCATTCACCAGCAGCGACAGCTCCGAGCTGATTTTGTTGTCGGTCACCTTGGAGGCGGCATTGAGGCGCTTATCGTTCTTGTACCACTGCAGAGTCGGGGGAGGATTGCCGCCAGCGGAGCTGCACTGCAGTTTCAGGATCGAGCCGGAGATGAGTATATCGCCGTCATTGTAGCCGGTCAGCAGTGGAGGCGAGGGCGGATCTGAAGGGGGCAAGGCAAATAGCTAAAGAGAACTGCCCAAGGCTGAGTCTACCACTCTCATCACACTCACACAAAACATTCACTGTGTGGGAGCCCACAACATTCTGGGAGAGCTCCGCATTGAGCGCATGGCAAACAGCGATGAACGTGCGACTCTGAGAATCGATGTTCAGGGTGATGTTGGAGCTGCTCACCCAGCCGCCGTCAGCGCTGCTCGTCGTCTTGAAGGTGCTGTTGGTCAGGGGGCGTCCGTTCATGGACCAGCTGATACGCGCCGGGGGATTCGAGGGAGCCGTCACACAGCTCAGCTGCACTGCATCGCCCACCTTGGCCTGGGTGGCGCCGCTCAGAAAGACATCCTTCGGTGCGTCTATATGGGAACACGCTTTGGTTTATAGGCAACTGAAAAGCTTCTCAAATAATTCAGGGAGACTCACATAGAACAGTTAGATTGAGCTCGGCCCGCAGCGGCGTATTCGATAGCAGATTCTTGGCCTCGCAGACCAGATTGGCGCCATTGTCCGAGGCATTCGCCGTAAACTTGTAGACATTCTCCGAGAGGCGACCCGAGGTGCGTTGGGGCGAATTGACGACCTCGCCATTGCGATACCAGACCAACTGAGCCGGCGGATTGCCGCCGCGACTGCGGCACGCAATTTGCAACTCCTGGCCGCGGCGCAAGGTCTCGCCTTGGCTGTAGCCCTCAAAGAATGGCGGTCCGGGTGGATCTAATTGTGTTTGAGGGGTCTTGGGAATAATCTCTTGTTGCTGGGGAATGAGAAGCATGAGACTTACATAGCACAGAGAGCTGGACTTGAGCGCGCATGGGCACATCCGGGGGCAACGCCTTGTGGCGCGCCTCGCAGGAGTATTCCTTGTAGTCGTCCTGGGCGCGTGGCTGCAGATGCAATGTGGAGCTGGTGCGGAAACGCTTCGCTGACGTTTGATTCACTGAGACAATGGGCTCTGCGGGCGGTTGGACAGGTTAGACTGGGACGAGGGAGTTTGCATTAATGCGAGGCTTACCCAATGTCAACGGCGTCTCGCCCTGATACCAGACAATCTCCGCCGCCGGATTAGCATTCTCGGTGATGCACTGCAGCGTTAGGTTCTGGCGTTCGATGACCTCCACCTTGGCGTTGCGTGCATAGCCATCGATGGAAATGCTGCTGGGCGCTGCCACGATGCTCAGCTTGGCATTGGCGCGTATGGCCGGATTGCCAGCTGCCGGGCCCACCTGGCACTGGTACTCGGCGTCGTCCTCGAGCGTGGCATTCTTAATCTGCAAGTTGTAGGTGCCGTGCGCCTTGTCCACCAGCACCGAGTAGCGCGGAAAGCCCGGAATGACGGCCGAGAAGCCCAGCGCGAAGCCATCCTTTGTCCATTGAACCTTGCCGGCGCGCGACTCCACCTCGCAGCGCATCAGCGTATCGGTGCCCTCCAGTATCTGCAGATCGTGGGGGGTAACTCGGAACCGTTGCACAGCAGGCGCCGCTGCTTGCGGAGCATCAGCCGAGGCAGTGCCGCCTACGCCAGCTGCAGAGAGGATGAGATGGGAAAACAAATTCGCATATTGTTAATCGGCACGTTCGACAATTGCGCACGTAGTTGGTAACGGGCAACGGGTAGCGGGTAGCGGGTGGAGTCTAGTTCAATTGGCAGCGACCTGTCACCCGACCCAGTCGCAGTCGCAGTCGCAGTCACCGTCACAGTGGGAGCTACAGTTACAGTTACCTATTTCTCGCAGCCCACACATAAAATACACATTACTTGAGCATAAGACTCGACGAGGCAGCCCAGTCACATCTCACTAATTTGGAACAACTTTTATTTTGTGTTATGCAGTTTTTGTTTTTTTTTCTTTTATTTGTTTCGCACACACACACGTGCATGACTAACATGTGTGTAGGTGTGCGTGTGTGTGTATGTCAGGGCACTTTGAGTCTGTCATTGAGACATGGACAAGTCCGTCCGGCTCGCCGGCTGTCTGCCTTCTGTCTTCATCAGCGGGTCTGCCCGCTGCCAGTCTGTGTGTCGCTACATCAACCCACACCGAAACGAACCGAAGTGGGTCTACAGCTTGCGGCTCATTAGCATTAAAATGTCTTAAAGAAAAGAGCAGGCCACGTTCGATACCAAATTGAACCGACTACTTAGCCGTGTATATGTGCTCGAGTATGTGACTCGATTCGTGTGCGTGTGTGTGCATGTGTGTGTGTGTGTTGTCGTCGACCTAATCAGCATTAGAGCAATCTACATAGGTAATACACATAAAAGCACGCACAGTGTCACTGGGTCATAGAAAACTGTGAGGAAAATGCCAGAGAACTTAAATCAAGGGAAATTAAGTGCGAAAACTCGGGCAAACAGCTGAAGTTCATTACATTCATCAATCAAGAGACAAGAGAACAAAGAAGCGACAGATAGACAGGCAGACAGACAGACAAAGAGAGACCCAAATGGAAATGCTTGATTGGCAATCAGGCCAAACTTTAGTCAACTGGCAATATGCAAATTAAAACTGGTTTCATGTATATTTTATATTTTTTATTTTTAAATCACTTCATTTTTCAAATCAGAACTTGGCGATTGCAATCAATTATCATTTATTATAATTGTTAGCTCATTTTTAACTTGGCTGCCAATCAAAACAAGTTCAATTGGTTTCAGCTCGCAGACAAGCCAAAGTTAAATTAAACTCGTTTAATAATAACAACAACAACAATAACAGCAACAAAAGCATTTGTTTTTTCTCATAAGAAAACCATGTTTAATTGATTGCATAGTTTTTGTGCCACTGTGCGAGCCTGCAAGCAGCTAAGGCCAACATTCAAACACTGCGTGAGACGTGCCTACAAATGGCTCAACAAATAAACGTCGCTGTCGTGGACTTCATCAATGGATTAATTGATTATTTGTCGTACACAAGAAGCCAGCGAGGCTGCACGGTCTTGAAACGAGCTCGATTTCCGTTGGACTTGAGCACGAAATGAACCACAATATACATATACATATACATATACATATAGAGAAGAACGCATTTACATACACAGATACATAGAAACATTTGTTCTACAGATATACATATATGTTTGTCTGCATTTAGATAGAGCTATCCATTGAATATGATTCGGTCACCATCAACGGAAACGACCACCCGCAGCTGCAAGTTAGTCACTCGCTTTTTTTTTTTTTTTTTTTTTTTTTTGCTCTTGGTTTTTTTGGGCGCGCTTCAATTTGCATAGGTCCGCATTAACTTGGCCCAAAGTTCATGCAATTAAGACCAAAGACCAAGAGACAGTTGACCAAACTGCACAGCCAGAACATTTCCTGCAGCAATTAACCAACAACAACAACAACAACAACAACAACAGCAGCAGAAAAAACTGCACAACTTGACAGGTTTTGCGTCGACGACGACGACAACAACGAAAATGTCGAGAAAAACAGAGGCCAAGCCCAGTCCCCATCTCCGGTTGGCTACAACTCATTTAGTGTCATTACGAAGTCACCCCCCACTGCTCAGGCCAAGCATGTATGTATGTGGTATATATGTATATGTACACCTCTCTCACTCACTACATGGAAGACAATAAGCAATGGGTAATTGTCACACATATGCAGGGCAGGATGGCCAACAAAGAAATCCTTGAAGTGTGACAGTAGGAAGCACTGGCAGGCCAGACCAGCACACAAACTAAAGAAACAACATGCAAGAAAACTCTAGACGGGCTGTGCGACTGCGAGATACCTCGTATCAAATGCAACAAATGTCTAAATTGTATAGAACATATATTAAAATAATTAAACATATATAATATACAATACAATAACTGAAAATTTATAATATATAATCGATAACATTCGAGCAGTAATAATTATCGATTTTTTTTAGATATTCATGTGAGCTATAAATTTCAATTTTCTATGCCTTAGATACGCTGAGATCTAGGGGTATAACAGGATAGGACTGAATCATTTCAGCCCATGCTGATTAAGAATATAATTATACTCAACAGAGTCTGCCACGCCTCCTCCAAACACTCCCACAAAATGGGTATACCCTTACTTCCCAATTCAAATGCAGCTGCAGGGTATAGAAAACAAAAAACACTTCACTGGCTGTAAAGTGAAGTAAAGTGCAAAGTAAATGAAAAGACGTAACAGAAGGCGGCTAAAGTAAACCGGTTTAGCATTTCATTCATGCCTTTAGGCCGTTGGCTGTTGGCCAGTGGTCAGGGCGCAAGGAGTCGGTAGCACTCACTCTCGCTCTCCCTCTCCCTCTCCCTCTCCCTCTCCCTCTCCCTCTCCCTCTCCCTGTCCTGCTCAACTAAATTGTCTTCCAAGGGTCTGTAATTGTCAACTGGGCCCACAAATTGTACGCAAACTAAACTAACAGCTTAACCACAAAAACCGTTCCATGCCACTCGATGCTGATGTTGATGATGTTGCTGATGTCGATCCTGTGCCTTCGACTCAAACTTGGCCACAAGCTAAGTAAGTGCGACTGCGAGTGCAAGTGCGAGTGCGATAGCTATAGCTATAGCCATAGCTAGTGCGAGTGCTGGCCCAAACGCAAAGCTGCTAATAGTTTTGAGCATGGCCGACATTTACGTGCGGGCTCTGGCAAGCGATGCGCAACGCCGGATGTCGCACTAATGGTCAACGCAACCCCTTTAGAGAGCACACACTCCCCTGTTGGGGCGTCCATCTACAGCTCTCTCGCTCTCACTCCTCCTCACTCTCTCTCTCTTGCTTTGTCTCTGCTTTGTAAGTTAAACTATCTACAAGTCATTAACTCATATAAAGCCAGCGACTGTCGCACAGCAGGCAGGCAGGAGCCAGTCAGCCTCACTACGAGCCTATACAGTGTGCGTGTGTGCGTGTGCGTGTGTGTGTGTGTGCTTGTCCACAGACAATCCATGCTGAAGTGGCCTGGACCTAAACCTGAACCTGGCCCGGGAAACTGCTGCGCTGCTGCTGCTCTGCTGCTGCGCTGCCAACGCACATTTTGCTCAAYGCTTTTTGTCTTTTTTTCTCGCCGTCTGTTGTTTTTATTTTTCTCTTCTCTTCTTTTTATTCAAACTGATGCTGCTGATGTTGCTGCTGCTGCTGTTGCTGCTGTCTTATCAAGACCAGTTTTCAGTTTTGCCGCTGTTTCTGTTTTCGGTTTGCTCTGTTTGCCTGCAACTTCAGTGCGTTAATGGAAAATATTGTGGCATATCACAGGAAATCCGGTGAGGTTTTTTCTCGCACTCCTTTTAGCGTCAGGACACTTAGCGTGCACACAGCCAACAGCAGCAGCAGCAGCAACAGCAACAGCAACAACAACAACAACAACAACAGCAACTACAACAAGCCATACGAATGACTTTGACAAAATTAACGGTCACATAAATCTTTTCCCATAGAGCTTCTAGGCGCTCTTTGCGGCTTTGCGTTATAAATTTAATTAAAATTTCTTCTGTTTTTTTTTTCATGTTTTTTGTTCTTTTTTGTTTTTGTTTGCTTATCCATGTTGTTATTGTGGCTGTGTTGCTGTTGTTGCTGGCGGTGGTGGCGGCGCTACGCGCTTTGTTAATTTAACAAATGTCTTTTATTATATTGATTAAAGCGGCTTTGGTGTCAAATTTGTTGTCAGCTATGTTAAGCGCCCACAAAGTGTTTGGAATTGTTTTAAACGGCGCTGCGCAGAGGATTTCTGGGTAGCCATGACAATTATTTTCAACATGTGGCTTAGAGCTCACCACACGCCAGCAGCAGCAGCAGCAGGAGCAGTGGCAGCCCTCCTCGCCCCGCTTGGATATGTGGAAAGGCTTATAATTTGAGAGCCAGCTAAGTAAATCGTGTGCACTCGATGCTGAGCCGCTTTGGCCAACAAGATTGCTGGATCATTTATCCGTCGAGCTGCTCTCGCTCGAGCGCATAAGGACATGCACAAGGTGGAAAATCTGAGGAGATTTTAGACGAGCAGGCAATTTAACTACAGCTACGGCTAATTCCACGGAATTTGGCACAGCTTCTTGTTCCATTTATAATGAAGTCTTTAAATAAAAATAGAAGTCTTTTGAATTATAAATTTCGAGCCCGCATAGCGTTCGTCTATCAATCTTCGCAAAGGAAACTTGAGCATTCAAGTTAAACTAGTTTTGCATACTTCGGCCAGCTCGTCTCGAATATCAACGTCGCGTCGTCGCCTCTTTAGAAATATGAAAACTCATTTTTTATGCTCTTCGGATACGTGTCGCAAATGGCAAATACTTTCGACTTAAATAGATCAGACCGGTTTGCCGTAAATAAAACACTTCTAATCTAAAGGCTAATTAGGTTGGAAACTGAAGCTCGCCTCAGTTAATGGATGCGCAAGAGGAAAACAATTTCCCGCATCTGATTACGTAATGTCTAAGCATTAAATCAATTGCAGGGCTTTGTCGAAGGGAATCCAACGTCCTCGTTATTCAATATTTATTGTCATATGCATATATAAACACTTTCATTGTCGTCTATTGATTCGCTTTGAGCTTGTTTTCATATTT